GAACAGTGTGGCACCCCCGAACCAGAAAACGGACAACGTGGCAACTTAGGAGGGGGCGAAAAAAGGAGAATATGGTGGCGCAAATCTAAAACGTCATGACCAGCCCAGGGGAAATCGCCGAGACAAATGGTGACTCCGCGAAACAAGACCCTGCACTGACTGGGAAACTCTAACCGTACACCCCGACAAGTAAGAATATTACTTCTCGTAGGGAGAGTCAGAAATTAATCCGGTACCGGGTAATATGGGGACCCTACACCGGAGTTGTGAGGTGGAAGCCGACGTTGCCAATCACAACCATCAAGGGATTAGATTTCATCTTGGGGCGTGATTTTCTGAAGCGGTTCAACCCCGAGATCGAGTGGGTCACCCGGAATACGTGCATCTACAACAACGGGAAATGAGTGGAGCTGCTACGCTAGACGGATGTAGGAAATGTTCCTGAGAGCGTGAAGAAGTTGCAGCAGTTCCTAGGCTTAGCCAACTACTACAAAAGGTTCGTGCCACAGTACGCTAAGACAGCAGTGCCACTGACCAGCCTACTGAAAAAGGATACGCCCTACAAATGGGATACTCCTCAACAGCAAGCCATGGAGCAGCTACAGACAGCACTGACTACAGTGCCAGTACTCATCCTACCGGATCCAGATAGAGACCACGTGGTGGAAGCAGACGCTAGTGACCAAGCACTCGGAGCACTACTGATGCATGATCACGGACGCAATTTCCAACCCATCACCTACCTCAGTTAGAAGCTACACGGAGCAAAATTGAATTACCCAATCCATGACAAGGAAGCTTTAGTGATATTCATAGCCTTCAAGTTCACAAGTGTAAGCTTTAGTGATATTCAGGCAGCCATCACACAACTTCAATTTCCCTTTGCTCAGCATGGGTACTCCGTGGACGCAGAGATTACTACGGCAGAGAAACAAAAGCTGTTACAGCGGGAGACAAACTTAGTTGTAAGAAAGGGAACAGGAAAGATTTGGGTACCGAACTATGCCCCGCTCCGACAGATTCTGCTGGAGGAGTTTCACGACGTACAGTACGCAGGAAATTTCGGGAGCAACAAGACATTAGCAGAGATAGCGAAGAATTACTACTAGCCCGGGATGGCAGAAGACGTGCAGCAGTTCGTCGCCTCATGCGACACGTGCCAGCGGATGAAGAGCAGCAAGCAGAAAAAAAGCAGGTTACTTCAGTCTCTACCCGTACTGGAGCAGCCGTGGCAACACGCTCGAGTTCCCAATATGCTGGAAAGGATACGACCCGTCAAAGGACAGTTGGGTTGCAGAAGCTGATATGGGCAACACACGCCGTTCTTTTAAGGACTATCTTGTCAAGAAGGGTGTTTCTCATGCCACCCAGCTTTGAGGGGGGGACGTGTGAGAATACAACGGCTTATGCTGGCTTTGCTAGCTTGCCTGGACTTTATTATGTTATTACTAGCTTAGCTTTATTTTATCTTGCATGCTTTTGCTTGATTTCCTAGGTTCGTTGCCTTTACTATGGTTATTATAGTTGTAGGCACCGAACTAGGTTGAGTGCACCGAATTCTAGGCTTTTCGGTTGCCACCGAATTGCCTTCTACTGAATTCAGGAAGGATCCGTTCGAGACGCTTTGCGACTCGCGGAACCTTCTAGTAACACCCGGGTTACTACCTTTGTGTCGAGCCAATATATAGCCTCGCCTTGTACCCAGGTGAATCATTCAATAGAATCATCTTTCCTCAACCAGATCCTCACAGTACGGGTAGAGGCTGAAGTAACCCTGCTATTTTCGGCTTGCTGCTCTTCATCCGCTGGCACGTGACCCATGAGGTGACGAACTGCTGCACGTCTGCTGCCATCCCGGGCCAGTATTAATCCTTTGCTATCCTTGCTAATGTCTTGTTGCTCTCGAAATGTCCCCCGTAAGGCACGTCGTGAAACTCCTCCAATAGGATCTGCCGTAGCGAGGCGTAATTTGGTACCCAAATCTTCCCTGAACCCTTCCTTACAGCTAAGTTTTTCTCCCACTGTAATAGCTTCTTGGTCTCTGCTGTAGCAATCTCTACGTCCACGAAGTACCCATGTTGGAATAGACCCTTGAGCAGAGGGTTCATCCCGTCGAGCTGGATGCCTGCTACATGTCCGGGGCGGCTCAATGCGTCTGCTTTGTTGTATAGCCCGGGCTTGTAGACGATGTCGTAGTGGAAGTGAGTTTCTAGGAAGTCCACCCACCGCACCTGTCGTCGTGAGAGCGCCGGGTGCGACTTCAGGTATTTGAGACTGCAATGGTCGTGAGGGTTCCTTGTCATGGATGGGGTAGTTTAGTTCCGCTCCGTGTAGCTTCTTACTAAGATAAGCGATAGGCTGCAAACCGCGTCCGTGATCCTGCATCAGTACTGCTCCGACCGCTTGGTCATTAGCGTCTTCTTCCACCACGTATTCCTTGTCTTGATCTGGTAGGATGAGTACTGGCGCTGTAGTCAGTGCTGTCTGTAGCTTCTATATGGCTTGCTGATGAGGAGTATCCCATTTGTAGGGCGTATCCTTTTTTAGTAGGTCGGTCAGTGGCGCTGCTATCTTAGCATACTGCGGCACGAACCTGTTGTAGTAGTTGGCGAAGCCTAGGAACTGCTGCAACTCCTTCACGTTCTCCGGTACTTTCAACTTCATAATGGCTTCGATCTTCCGCGGGTCCACGTGTACGCCCTCGGCACTCACCATGTGCCCGAGAAACTGTGAAAATAGTAGGTAGAGTAAGGATCAAGAGCCATAGCTAGGAGAGTCCTATCTAGGCAAGAAACAGTTTAGGCAAAAGAGAGGATGTTCACTAGCAGTAATGAGGATACAAATAGCAAACCCTAGAAGGGTTGTACCCGCTATAGAGCACCCCACTACAGGCTAGAGCATAACATTCTGACACACCCCCATAGCCAAAGTGGGGTGTAATCAGTAGAGCAAGCAAAGCAGAACAAGCTCAGGGTGGATCACAATGTCACCACACATTCTGAGCACAAGTTCAAGAAGCAACAGTTTAAAGTTCACAAGTGTAAGCAAAGCTAAAGGCTATCGCAGAGGGCAAGTGAGGAGGAGGAGGCGAGACTGTAAGAGGAGAGGAGATAGGAGGCGACGACTGAAGCTACAGACACACGGGCAACAGGAGGCACACTGGCACACCGGCTACCGGAACAACGCTCCGGACTACTGGAGTAACTGGCCCCGCGGCTTAAAGTAGCGGCAGACGAGTAACGGACCCACGGACGACTGGCACAGGTGGCTGCGATTGTGCTACCGAAGCAACTCCCCGGACTACAGGTGCTCCTGGCGACATGACGGCAACCTCCGTTCAACTTCCCCAAACAGTCCCACCCCCCGTGACACGCACCCCCTGCTTCACCCCTAGCTCCACTCCCACGTCACCCCCCTAGCACCACTCCTTCGGCTCCCACACACCCACCCCCCTTAGCGGCAGCTGCAGTAGCGGGAGACGGAGGAGGAGGAGGAGCAGGGGACGCCGCTGAGAAACTGCACCCCCATACCCCCACACGCTCCACCCCCAAACCCTTATGCAGGAGCACAAGCAGTAGCAGGGGTGGGGCGCCATCAGAGGCACTGGGGACAGCGGGCAGTGTAGGGGCAGCAAAGAATGGGCCGCCCACGGGCCTGGCACAGCCGCCTGAACCGCGCGCAGGCGACCCGAGCCGCGCGCGGGCCTGGCGCAGCCCGTACGGGCCGCGCGCAGCCTGTACGGGCCGCGCACAGGCCTTGACGGGCGACAGAGGGCGACGCGCGGGTCCCCGTCGCCCGTCGCAGCGCCTCCTGGGGGCGACGCACCGAGTGACGGGGCAGAAACCCGTCGCGCGCCTCGGGGCGCATGGCGGGCAGAAAATCGCCGCGCGCCTCGGGGCGCACGGCGGGCAGAAAACCGCCGCGCGCCTTGGGGCGCACGGCGAGCTGAAAACCCTAATTTTGACGCCGCGCACCTCGGGGCGCGCGGCGAACAGGGAGTAGTAGTAGCAGCGGAAGCAGTGAGGTGGGGCCCACAGGCAAGGAGCATATCGCTCTAATACCATGTGAAAATAGTAGGTAGAGTTAGGATCAGGAGCCATAGCTAGGAGAGTCCTAGCTAGGCAAGAAACAGTTTAGGCAAAAGAGAGGATGTTCACTAGCAGGAATGAGGATACAAATAGCCAACCCTAGAAGGGTTGTACTCGCTATAGAGCACCCCACTACAGACTAGAGCATAACATTTTGATAGAAACTACACCTGCTTCAGGGCGAAGTTGCTCTTTGACAGCTTCACGTAGAGCTTATTTTTCCGCAGGATCTCGAACACTTTCCGTAGATGCTCCACGTGCTCCTTCATGTTCTTGGAGTAGATAAGAATGTCGTCCAGGTACACCACTACGCACTCGTCCAGCAAGGGTCGTAACTGTCAAACTCATATGCCATAGTCTGTGTAGGCTGAGGTGGGGTAGACAATATGGGGTACAACACTTTTAGGTTTTCCTACTTGTACCCACCTGCTTGCTAGTTCATTTCATTCCTCGTTTCTTCACATGGTATAGAGTAGGTTCCCTAGTGGGAATGCTTCCTTGGGCCCACCACTGAAATTTTTTTCTCACCGTAGTGCCATTCGCTCCTGCACGAGGCGCGCCTTGTGGGCCGCCCTTCTGTCCAGCCCTCCTAGAGGCCCCTCTCACGGCCCCTCGCGCCACCCTTAGCGGCCCCGTCGCCGCCCCTAGCGGCCCCGTCGCCGCCCCTCCAGGCCCCTCGCGGCCCCTACGCGGCCCTATCACCGCCCCTCGCGGCCCCGTCGCCGCCCCACGCGGCCCCGTCGCCGCCCCTAGCGGCCCCGCCGCCGCCCCTACAGGCCCCATCGCCGCCCCTATGCGGCCCCGTCGCCACCCTTACGCGGCCCCGTCCCCGCCCCTACGCGGCCCCGTCGCCGCCCTTACGCGGCCCCGTCGCCGCCCCTAGCGGCCCCGTTGCCGCCCCCCCCCCCACTTATGCGGCCCCGTCGCCGCCCCTACGCGGCCCCGTCGCCGCCCCTAGTGGCCCCGTCGCCGCCCCTACGCGGCCCCCTCGCCGCTCCTACCGGCCCCTTCGCCGCCCCTAGCGGCCCCGTCGCCGCCCCTAGCGGCCCCGTCGCCGCCCCTACACGGCCCCGTCGCCGCCCCTACACGGCCCCGTCGCCGCCCCTACCGGCCCCGCCGCCGCCCCTACCGAGCAGCCGAGCAGCCCAGCAGCCGAGCCGCCGAGCCGCCCAGCAGCCGAGTCGCCGAGCCGCCGAGCCGCTCAGCGGCCGAGCCGCGGAGCCGCCCAGCAGCCGAGCCGCGGAGCCGCCCAGCAGCCGAGCCGCCGAGCCGCCCAGCAGCCGAGCCGCCAAGGCCGCCGTCGAGTCGCCACTACCAAGCCGCTGTCGAGACGCTGCTACCGCGGTTGCCGCCCTGTTCCTTCCGGCACGCCCCGGCCCTGCCCACCCAGGACTGGTGAGAGCACTCCCTACCACCACTGCTGTCATGGCTACCCCCAGTGTCCTTACCTTTGATGCTGAGGGTCGTGCTCTTGACTTCAAGGTCTGGGTAGATGACCTACAGCTTTTCCTACAGTGCGATAGGGCGGACGGAATCTCCCTGTTCGATCTCACCTCTGGTGCCTCTCTTGCCACGCCTGCTAATGCTGACAGCACTGTCGCTCACAGTGGGCCACCCGCGATGGTGCTGCCCGTCTTGTTGTGCGTCGCCACTTACCAACCACTGAGCGTGCGCACTTCTTTAGTTAGTACAAGAGTGCTAAGACCTTGTACGACGCTGTCGTTGCACGCTACTCTTCCCCTGCCACTGCTGCTCTTAGCCGCCTCATAGTGCCGTACCTGTTTCCTAACCTCGCCACCTTTCCCACTGTCGCTGACCTCATTACGCACCTCCGCACTAGTGACACCCGCTACCCCGCTGCGCTTCCTGCTGAGTTCTGCCCCAAGAACCCCCACCCCATGTACATCACCCTCTACTACATAGTTACCCGGCTCCCTGACTCCCTTCGCTCGATCAGGGACCACTTCCTCTCTGTTTGCCCCACCACACTCACCGTTGACCTCCTCGAGGAGCGCCTCCTGGCAGCTGGGAAGAGTATAGTTGCTGTAGGAGCCTCTAGAGGTGACCCGCGTGCCCCTGTCTTTGAGGGGTGCTCCCCCTCCCCCCTTTTGCCCTCTATTGCCTTAGCTGCTGCCGTCAACTTCGTTGGCACCGAGTCGGTCGGCTCTGCGTCTACCCCTAGTGGGCGCCGCCGCACCGGCAAGGGCAAGGGAAGCAAGGGCACTGGAGGGGCTGGCGGGGGCAGTGGAGGTGGAGATGGAGGAGGCGGAGGGAGTGGGGGTGGTGATGGGAGTGGTGGCGAGGGTGGGGGCTTCGGTGGCGGCGGTGGCGGCGGAGGCGGCAGCGGCGGTGGCGGTGGGAGCGGAGGAGGAGGCGGTGGCGGCGGTGGCGGAGGTGGCGGCGGAGGAGGTGGAGCTAGTCGGGGTGGCTCTGCGCAGCGGGGCGGCTTAGGTGGTGGTCAACGCCAGCAGCAGCAGCGCACTCGCGAGACCCCGTCCCCCCAGCAGCTTCGTGAGTGGTACGCTGGGCGTCAGCGAGGTGGGGGTACTAATCCCTGTACCTACGTCCTCCGTACCGGCGACCGTGCTGGTAAGCAGTGCGGGGGCTCGCACTCCACCCAGCGCTGCTTCGGCCGCATGACGGAGGCTTGGCGTCACCAGTTCCCTGACGCCACTAAGATCCCTCGCTGGGGAGAGCTGTCTAGGGCGGAGGTTGCTATCTTTGATCTTGACTAAGATGCTTTTCTTGCTGCCATGTATGCTGTGTCTACTAGTGATGAGGGTGACAGTTACCTGTGTGTTCCGCCTGACCCGGGCATTGAGGCTGCTGCTCTAGGTGCTGGTGAGGCTGCTACTTTAGGTGCTAGTGTGTCTGCTGCCCCAGGTGCTGGTGAGTCTGCTCTCTCAGGTACCACGTCGGCTCAGGCACTCGTGAGACCCCGCCCCCACAGCAGCTTCATGAGTGGTACGCTGCGCGTCAGCGGGGTGGGGGTGCTAGTTCCTGTGCCTACGTCCTGCGTACCAGTGACCGCACTGGTGAGCCGTGCGGTGGCCCGCACACCACCCAGCGCTGCTTCGGCCGCCTAACGGACGCCTGGCGTCTCCAGTTCCCTGACGCCACTAAGATCCCTTGCTGGGGCGAGCTGCTTAGGTCGCGGGTTGCTATCTTTGATCTAGATTATGATGCCATTCTTGCTGCCATGTATGTTGTGTCTACTACTGATGAGGGTGACTGTTACCTGTGTGTTTCGCCTGACCCGGGCATTGAGTCTCCTGCTCCAGGTACTGGTGAGTGTGCTGCCCCAGGTGCAAATGCCTGCTCTCTCAGGTACCACGTCGTCTCAGGCTTAACACACCTTCACCCTTGATTCAGGTGCTTCCCGCTCCTTCTTTCGAGACCGCACCATGCTTACGCCGCTTAGTCGGCCGGTTGCGGTCTCCCTGGCGGACCCCTCTGGGGGTCCTGTCCTTGCCCACTTCTCCACTGTCTTACCGTGTCCGGCAGCCCCCTCTGGCACCCTGTCAGGTCTCTACCTCCCCTCGTTCTCTACGAACTTGGTGAGTGGTGCTGATCTACAGGATGGGGGGGTTGACCAGTTCACAACTGCGAGTAAGAAGGTGACCCTCTGTACGTGTGCTTGGACGGGCCAACACTTGGCCACATTTACCCGTCGGCCGGGGTCGAGCCTGTACACACTGACTACTGAGTCTCCTCCGGTTGCTGAGTCTGGTCAGGTAGCTGCGCCAAGTCAGGTGTTTGCTGCAGCGTCCAGGTCTGGTCCTGAGTCCGCTCCCTGCTCGTGTCGTCTCTTGTCCCACTGGACCCTCCTCTGGCACCACCGTCTTGGTCACCCCTCCCTGCCTGGTCTCCGAGGCATGGCCTCCCATTACCTTGTCTCTGGTCTCCCCCGGTCCCTCCCTCCCCTTCCTCCAGGGCCTGCCCCTACGTGCGTCCCCTGCATCGAGGGGCGGCAGCGCGCTGCCCCTCACTCCTCCGATTTTCCTCCGACAGAGGCTCCCCTGAAGACTCTTCACATAGACGTGTGGGGCCCCGCCCGCATCCGTGGCCAAGGTCACGAGCGTTAATTCCTATTGGTGGTAGACGACTATTCGCGTTACACCACGGTCTTCCCCTTGCGCAGCAAGGGTGACGTCACTGAGGTGTTGATCGACTGGATCCGCGCAGCTCCTCTCCAGCTCAGAGAGGGTTCAATTCCGACTTTCCTGTTCTGCGTCTGCACTCTGACAGAGGCGGGGAGTTTTCCTCTACCCGTCCGGGAGCCTTCTGTCGTGCACACAGCATCCGCCAGACCTTCCGTACGTCCATGATCCATGCGGCTGCTCCCTATTTTCTGTGGCCGTTTGCGGTTCAGTACGTAGCGCATCAGCTCAACCTTCAGCCTAGGGTCTCCTTGACAGAGACCTCGCCCACCTTGCGGTGGACGGGGAAGGTTGGCGATGCGTCTGCGTTTCGGGTCTGGGGATCTCGGGCCTTTGTCCATAGCTTGTCTGCGGACAAGCTGTTCCCCCGTGCTGTTCCCTGCGTCTTCCTTGGCTTCCCCCCTGACGCGCCTGGTTGGCAGTTTTACCACCCCACCTCGCGCCGTGTTCTGTCCTCCAAGGACGACACCTTTGACGAGTCGGTGCCTTACCACCGTCTCTTCACCTACTTCATTGCGCCCCTCTCCCCGCCGCTGCTCTTCCTTGCACAAGGTCCTCCCCCGGTAGACCCTCTCCCCCCTCAGGAACCTGCCCCGTCAAGTGTGTCCTAGGTAGACGCAGTCGAGCCTGTCGAGGTAGCTGTTGACTGTGGTGCTGCTAGGGGTGCTGAGCCTGGGGGTGCGGAGCCTGGGGGTGCTGAGTCTGGGGGTGCTGAGCGTGGGGGTGCGGAGCCTGGGGGTGCTCAGCCTGGGGGTACGGAGCCTGGGGATGCGGAGCCTGGGGGTGCTGGGTCTGCTCGTGTGGCCTGTGGCGGTGCTTCGTCGAGGAGGGAGCTACTCTCTCTGCAGGAGCTGCGTGAGTGGTTTGCCCGGCGATAGAGCCGTACTGCTGGAGCTGGAGGTACTACTGTTGCTGCTTGTCCTGGAGGTGCTCGACTGGCAGTACTGAAGCTGCTGGGACTAGGGGTGCTGGCGTTAGTCCTACTAAAGGTTCTACTGGAGCTGCTGGCGGTACTGGAGCTAACGGTCCTTCTGGAGTTGGTGCTGTTGGAGCTGCTGGAGTTGCTGGAGCTAGAGCTGTTGGGGGTGTTGGCGCTGGTGGTTCTGCTGGCGCTGGTGCTTCTGAGGGTGCTGGAGTTGGCGCTGTTGGAGCTGGAGGTGCTGCTGGCGCTGGTGCTGCCGCAAGGGGTACTTGTGTTGTCCTTGCTGGTTCTGGAGGCACTGCGCGACAGAGACCGTACTTCGTTCCGCTCCTTGAGCAGGTTCTTGGTCTCCCGCCCTCTACTGGTCCTACTCCTCCCTTAGAGTATCCACAACCTATCCAGTCGCGGTCACAGTTACAGCCTGCCTCCCCCCTACCTGCTCCTTCTCCCTACACTGGTCCTACTGGAGGTCTTGCTAAGCGTCGTGAGCCTGCGTCTCGTCCTGCGTCGCCTGTTGGTGCTGCTCGCACGAGTGGTCGTGCTCCGCGTCCGCGTCCTCCTACGGTCCTAAGCACTCACCAGATGGCACTGCGTCCTTCCACTGCTTCTCTGCGTGTCCCGTTTCCGTCTCCTCCAGAGTCCTCTCTTCCTGTTCATGCTGACCCAGAGTCTGACTCTCTTCATGCTGCCAGTCCTACTGTCACGCGTCTCCTGGCCACTGTTGTCACTGACCCTTCCTTTGAGTCCACTGCTGCGTCTGCCTTGGTTGCTGAGCTTGTCGACTTTGCTGCTCGATGTCGTCTAGACTACATCGCTAGTCTCGTTGCTGAGTCAGAGTCTGTCTGTCCTCCGTCCGTCGGGGGTGAGTGTGCTCTTAGCACGGACGTCCTTGAGGACAGGCAGGAGGAGTTCCAGTCTTTTGCTGCTGCTTTGCCTCATCTCGTGTCCACGCTGATTGCCCCTAAGGGAGACCCGGATGCACAAGACATCCCGACTCCTCGATCGTACGCTGAGGCGATCAAGGGTCCCTACTCCTCTCAGTGGCAGTCGGCCATGGAAGCAGAGATGGCTTCCTGGAAGTCCACAGGCACCTACGTCGACAAGGTTCCCCCACTTGGGGTTAACATCGTCAGTGGCATGTGGATTTTCAGGGTGAAGCGGCCGCCGGGTTCTCCGCCTGTCTTCAAGGCCCGTTACGTGGCTTGTGGCTTCAGTCAGCGGCAGGGAGTTGATTACTTTCATACCTTCTCTCCCACCCCAAAGATGACCACTCTTCGGGTGGTGCTGCACATAGCTGCTCAGCGTGACTACGAGCTTCACTCTCTTGACTTCAGCACAGCTTTTCTGCAAAGCAGCCTGCATGAAGAGATGTGGCTGCGCCGCCCACCTAGCTTCACTGGGTCGTTTCCTCCTGGTACCTAGTGGAGCCTTAGGCGGCCAGTCTACGGTCTCCGCCAGGCGCCCCGTGTGTGGCACGACACACTGAGGACTACACTTGCGGCTCTTGGGTTTGCTCCTTTTACTGCCGACCCGTCGCTGTTTCTGCGCACCGACACCTCTTTGCCGCCTTTGTACATCCTCGTGTACGTCGACGACTTGGTCTTTGCCACTGCCGACACTGCTGGACTCGCCCACGTGAAGTCTGAGCTACAGAAGAGACACACGTGCACAGACCTGGGTGAAATGCGCAACTACCTTGGCTTGCAGATCACCCGGGACAGAGCACAGTGCACCATTACCCTGACTCAGTCACACATGGTGCAGCAGGTCCTTCAGCGCTTTGACTTCACGTACTCCTCGCCTCAGGCCACTCCTCTGTCTACTTGTCACTCTCTCTCAGCTCTGCCTTCGGATGAGTCCGTAGAGCCGAGTGGCCCATACCCAGAGCTTGTTGGCTGCCTCATGTACCTGATGACCTGCACACGACCTGACATAGCATACCCTCTTAGCATCTTGGCACGCTATGTTGCTCCTGGGAGACATCGACCAGAGCACATGGCTGCAACGAAGAGGGTGTTGCGCTACTTGTGCAGTACGTCGCGCATGGGGCTAGTGCTTGGAGGGCGACGTCGAGTGGGCCTCACAGGTCACGCAGACGCTTCTTGGGCTGACGACCAGGCTACGCAGCGGTCGTCACAGGGTTACACCTTTAGCCTTGGCTCCGGCTCTGCTTCGTGGCGGTCTACCCGCTCGTCTTCTGTTCTCGGCTCCAGCTATGAGGCTGAGATCTACGCGGGGGCCATGGCTGCAGAGGAGCTACGCTTGCTCACCTATTTGCTGACTGACCTAGGAGAGCCGCCTCGTTCTCCTCCAGTTCCATGCTGGCCTTGTGTCGGGAGCACAGACTGGAGCACAGAACGAAGCACATTGCTCTTCGCTACTTCCTTGCTCGTGAGCTGCAGCAGCGTGGTCAGCTGCGCCTTGCTTACGTGGCCTCTAAGGACAACACTGCTGATATCTTTACCAAGGCACTTCCGCCTTGTGATCATCAGCGCTTCTGTACGATGCTAGGTCTTGTGCCTACTTGGCTTCACTTGCTCACTTCATGACCTTGCTTGTACTATGATCTTTCTATACCTGCACCTGCTTGTTTACCTTTATATATGATCTTGCATGTGAACTGGCCTTGTGGCCTTGCTCTTGTGCTCGGACT